TAGGGAAAGTGAGAGAAAGGGATCGGAGACCTGGAATGGGGTCCGGAGGTGGGGACGGCAGGTTCCTGGGAGCGAATGACTGTCCTGGGAGAGCCTGGGGAGTGGCGGGCCTGCTGTGCTGCATGGCCCCTGAGACACGCAAGGATGGGGGCTGCGTGAGCACTGGTCTTCCGGCGCGCCCAGCACACAGCTGCGAGACCTGAACTGTTGGATCTGAAAGGATAGGCAAGTCAGATAAGTGACACTTGTTGCTACAGAGCCAGCAGCAGAACTTGCCCGGAAGTGGCGGGTGTGGGCCTCAGACGGACTGGCCCGTGCTCCTCGCATTGGCGTGTGTCCTTGTGTCACGCAGTTACTCTGGGGAGGCAGCTCGGTTTGGAGGCAGCACCGAGTTTGCAATCTGAGAAGCCGAGGCTTGAACCTCAGCTCTTACATGGCTTGGAGCAAGCTACTTCCCTGAGTTTTCGAGGTTCATTCTTGTCTCTCAGAGGGAAATGGTAACACTCAACCCAACCCTATGGGGGCAAAGAAGGGGATGCACGTGTACTCAGGGAGGACTCTGGGCTTGAACCAGGAACCTTCCCGTGGGGTCGCCTTGTAGAACAGCATGCTCTACTGCTGCTGGCCCCACTGTTTATTTTTTCTTTTTTATGTCTCTCTGTGTGTACACACACTTGCCAGAGAGAGACAGTGAGAAGGAAAGTGAGAAATCACCTCCCACAGAGGATGGCCATGCCATGGTTCCTTCTCCTCCGTGGTCCTCCTGGGGTTTTGGACTGGCTGCATTATTTTAAAGTCATAAATTAATACAATTATACATTGATCGGGTTCAATTAGGAAAAGTTCCGTTTTTCTCACATTTGTATAATATTTTTGGAACCTCACTACTCATCACTGACTCAGCAGGCGAATCTCTGAGGACTTCGAACTCCTTGTTTTTGTCAGGGTGAGCCATACCTTCTTTCCATAGGACCAATTTATCCTGCTGTAGCTGTTTTATTTCATAATAGGAAATTTATTTAAATTACGTTTTAAAAATTTAAGAGTAGAACTAACAGTTTTTAAAAGATAGTTCTTTATCATGTCCAAAGACTCATGGGAAATAAGTGTTTTTAAATTTTTTTCAAACTATTATTGTTATTCTTTATTTTGACTGATGTAATCCCAGAGAATTTTTTTTTTGACAAATTTTAATACTTTTTTCTGGTTTCAAGGGTGAAAAATATTACCTGGAAATTTATAAGGGTGTATTTTACTAAGAAAATCCCATGTGGCATTTGATTTATTCTTAGATCATTAGTGTGAAGTTAAGTGAGTATGCATCATCATTTCTGGATAATACAGTATGTGTGAGTGGGCCTAAGCTTTTCTAGTTACAGGAGGGCTAAAGGAATGTTAGTGCTTTAGAAAAAAAAGTGGGTCTTCCCTTTCTTTCATTTAATTACTGTAAGCTTTGTTCTTTATGACATGTGAATTTTAAGATAGTTACTTAGTTTGTGCAACCATTCTTGAATAGTTGAAATAGAATTGCAGATTTCCATGCCTGCTGAAAGTAAAGTAAGTGTAAGACATAGTCGAAATTTGTTTTTGTATTTCATGTATAAACTAAGCAGATGTTACTAAAAGAGCACTTTGGTGTATGTTCTGGGGCCCCCCCACCCCATGTCAAGTGCACAGTATTTTAAAATTTCCGAGTCTTACTTATTGTCCTTATTAAACAGGTGTCTCAACGCGTGTACCTACTGCAAAACGAAACACGCCAGAGGAAATCTGGCCAGTTACCCAATTGATGAACTAGTCGATAGAGCCAAACAGTCTTTTCAAGGTAAGAGTTTCCAGAGTTACGTGAACAATTGGTCTTTTTCTTGTATTATATTGGTCTTTATGTAAGGCTTCAGATATCTGCTGCTTGCATGTTCTGAAGACTTCTCAAATATTTTGACCTAACTAATAACGGATGCTACCAGATTTAATTACTCAGGTTGTATTTACATTAATTACGGTAGTTCCTCGCTAACTAATCCATAGTTCGGTTCCCCGCACTGATCTATGATCCAGAAATATTAGATGGAAAATTCCAGAAATAATTCAGAACATTTTAAATAACTTGTATTATTACAGCATCTTGTAATTATTTTATTTTATTCTTAGTTATTGTTGTTCATCTTACTATGCCTGATTTGTGAGTTAAACCATATCATAGGTGTGTTGCATGTGCAGGAAAAAGCACAGTATATCTGGGGGGAGCATCTCTTGCCCCTTATCGGGTTTCTTCAGATTTTGGAATATTTGCATATATATGAGTTACTTTGGGGGGTAGGACCTGAGTGAATGGGAAATGCATTTACGTTTAATAGACACCTTGTACACACAGCCCGAAGGTAATTTGCTGCAGTATTTCTGTATCGCATCATCTTGCCTGCGACCTTTCCCATGAGGTCAGGTGTGGAATTTTCCACTCAGGGTACCATGTTGGTGTTTAGAACATTTTGGGTTTTGGAGCATTTCGGATTTTGGATTAGAGTTTGGTACTAGCTACAGTTTCAGGTATCTGCGGAGATCCTGAACCAATTCCCCCATGGATAAGAGGGGACTACTGTGCTCTTCTTCCACTGCTCTTTCACTTGCTTGTCACTCTGAAGTCATGACACATTGCAGACTTCATCACCCATCTCCAGACTCTATAGAAAAGACAAAAAATAAAAGTAAAATGAAACCCATGAGCCTCTGCTGTCTGTTGAGATTTCTATGCACTGAGCAAAGTACTTAGTTTTCTTTCTATTCTTTGACGGTAGAACTAATGACCGTGTCCAGGAGTCTTGAACGAGAAGGTAATTTTCCTGTCCGCTGATATAGGGGGCCGCCCCTCCTTGTCTGCAGGGCTCTCAGACTCATGATGAGGGGCACAGAGGAGTCCTCCCTGGAATGCTCCTCAGGCGGGTGGCCGGCCACTTCTGACTCACCACATGCTGGGACATGTGACATGCCAGGCACCTCCTAGCATGTAGTCAGGCTTATCTTTTCTGTGGTCACGGTTGTGTTGACACGTAACTGCTTTAACTGTACGCTTCCTCTTTAGTCTTTGTTTATAGCGTGTACATAGAACAGGGGTGTGTTTTAATCAGTTGTTCCGTAACCTGGTGAGTTACTGTTACTGGCTGTGGACCTTTCCTGTCAGCATGGAGCTCGGAGTGCTGCTGTCTGACGACACGCCCCCAATCCAAGGAGAATTGTGTTTTCTGTGCACTTTAAAAAAAAATCTATTTAGACTACCTAAGTTTTTATCAACATGAATTTGGAATGTTCCTCTTAAAAGGAACATTAATTGGTTAATTTATTGCGCCTCCCTACATTTTTCCCTACTTTCATATTATTAGCTCTGTCCCTTCCTCCATGGAACTTCAGCTGGTACCAAAAGAGAAATCAAGGCGACGTGTTGGCTCCAGCTGGAGTTTTCAGAGCCAGGTTCCCGTCCGATGGTGTGAGGAAAAGCCCACACGGTGCTTTTTCCTACAACACAGCCACTTGAAGACTTTTTCAGGAGGGGCAGGAATTTGCACAGAAATGTCATCCGTTTGAAACCATGGATGCAGACAATCTTAGTGTTGATTTTTCCGCATATCTGTCCGATAACGAGGGTATTTTATGCATGTGATTTACCTACCGAACACTGCCGATTAAAAGGCATGTAAATGGTGCTCTCTAACACTTTGCATTTCTAAGGACAAGAGCATATGACTTTTACAAGTCTTCTATTTCATCCTACCTGGAAGTTTATTTGAAAATATAAAACTGGAAGGTTATCATGGAGGAAGGGAAAGGGTTCCCTTCACTCCCTCACACTGTCCTCACCTGTCACTCAGGGTTCCATTTCGATATGGTCGCATCGTGAATTTATGTGGACACACATGTATTAGGTGTGATGAGAAAAGTAAGACAGGAATATAATTTTTATAAACTGATGACAGAAGTTTTCCTTATTTATTTTTCCAGCTTTATTAAAGACATTTCTCATAGGCAGTCATGGTATTTCGGGCAGGACATGGGCAGACAGCCGGTACCAGCACACGACAACTTCTTCAATGACTATCAGAATCAGAAAGCCGCTGGACAGTCCAGCGAGGTCTACACTTGATGCTCTGAACAGACCAAGTTTACAGCGAGGGTTGACATTTCGCTTCCAGCATGTGGTTTAACCACTTTTCACGAGGGGACCCTGACTCTCAATAAACAGAAATGGCAGCATTATCAACCTGAAGATCCAATGATATAGAAAAGGAAGTGCCGCTCTTTTGAAGGAGGCCTTCTTAATGTCGCTGGAAAGTCCAGGCTGCCTGGCATACCGGCAGCTAGTGTCTGTGGTCAGATCCCAACAGCTCTCGGTTTAAGGGAGTTAAGTCTGGGCTGAAGGCAGGGACAGAGGGCATAACCACAGATGCTAAGTGTTCTGCACCACCAGGCACCTGTGCCAAGGCGGCTGTGTGTGTCGGCATCAGGGAATCCCTCCTCTGGGGAGCCAGGAGGACGCCTCTCAAAGCTAGAGGGGAAAGATGCTGTCTAAATCAGTCCAGCGTTGGGAACATTCTGTGAGTGACAGATGCCCTTTCCCCAAAAACAGCAGTGAAGGGTTCTGTGTGCTCACAACATAGCTTAAAAAAGAGGTAAAGCAAAATTCTGTATTTCTATAAAACTCGATGCAAATAGGATTTCACGCCATACGGTCACAGATGCACACACGTCACGGGCACCTCTAGCACCTTCGGCTCTCTGTGCTGGTGTGTCGTGGCGTCTCCTTTCTCTGCAGGGTTACTCCCATCCTGGCCAACGTCAGCTTTTCCCACCTTCCCTGTGGGCACCCGCTCTCCCTTCTTTTCAAGGCCTCCTTAGGCGTGGGCTCCGGCTTAGGAGGAGCAGGCTTGGCCGACAACCTTGCAGATCTTCTCCGCGGCTCGTCCTCCCTGGACTCATCTCCTCTAGCCTTCCCTTCGGCCTTTCTCTCGGGCATGGTGCTGACGACGGGGGGGCGGAGGTGCTGGACATCATCCGTAGGTAGTACCCCTCCTCTTTCTGTCCAGCCGTGGACTGTTTGCAGCAGAAGGCTCTCTGGCTGTCCGCAGAGCTGATGCTGTCTTCCAGTTTAGTCTGGGGCACGCATTTGGTCCATGCGGTTCTGTTGCTAAGGGACCGTGGTCACGGCCTGCGAGGATTCCCTGCACCTTCGGGAGCAGCTGAAGTCGGGAAGTATTTGGTACTTGTGGCTCGAGGCGGAGTCCAGGTTTGAAACACCGCCCTGTTGTCCCGACCACGTGATCTGAACTAGGAGTCTGGCCCGTCCCCGCCGTCACGGTAGCGCTCGGTGGTGCTTGTATGAGAATTTGCAGTGACGAGAGTGACAGGCTGTGCTGATGTCATGGGGAGGACGAGTTCCTGAAACTGAAGGGACGCAGGAGGAACTGAAGACGGGCAGTCTCATTCGGGCTCAGAGCACTGGAGCACCTGTTGCAGAGACAATAATGATAGAATCAAGGAATAGATTTTCTTTTCACTTGTAAAATATGCTTTATGAACATTTTCTCTGTAGATGGAAGCTCTGGCGTGAAGGTTACTTTTTATTTTCTAACTCTAAAATCAAGTTCTGCTAAATAGCACCTCGAGATCCCCATCTCCACAGGGAAGATGGACCCACATTCATAGATGTTCAGTTAGTAACATCATCTTTTGTTCTGCAGAAGACATTGGGATTTTAACGATTTTCCTAAATTTATACTTTAAAATTGCAACTAGTAATTATAACGTTAATTACAGCAGAAGAAATAACCCATCTTCTCACATCTATGACTTCAGTATATTTATTTCTTGAACAATTCTTGGTCCAGAAGCCCTAGAACTCTGCATTGTACCGCGATTAGGCTGCCTGTCCTAAAACGGATAGCCACGTGTCTGTGAGCCGTTACTCGAAAATGAACACTCTATATATGCTGCTGGTAAATTTCAGTACTTTGTTTAAAACGACTTTGTCACTGAAAGCTCATTTTCCATCCTTTTTTTTCTTTCTTTCTTTCTTTTTGAGAGGTTTTTGCTCTAGGTTGCTTGTGCTTGACAGAGAGACAGAGACAGAAAGTGAGAAATCAACCCCCAGGGGGAACAACTACACTTCAGTCCCTTCTCCTCTTGGGACTTTGGGCACACACACATATGCACCTGGCATAAATTTTAAGCCGCCGAGTCCAGGACTTGAACTGTGGTCGACTACATGGGAATCCAGCAACATAGCCATTATACCATCTGCTGGTCCCTATTTTTCCATCCTTAACACAACATATTTTTTCCTAATTTTTAAAATGACTAACATGTCTGAAATACAAAGTGATTTTCTTTTTCTTTCTTTCTTTTTTTTAATTTGGTATATGATAAAGGCACTTGCCAGCGAGAGACAAAGAGACGAAGAGAGGGAAAGCGAGAAATCACCCCCTTCAGGAGATGGCTGCAAACCCTTCTCCTCTATTCTTTTGGGTTTTGGGGCACACGCACACACATGCGCCTGGTGTGTTTTTCAAGCTGCCAGGTCTGGGACTCGAATTGCACAGCCAGCCATGTGGGATCCGGCACCTTAACCTCCACGCCATGGGCTGGTTCCAGAATGAGGTTCAAAACCTGAGAATCAGTTGTCGAATGGGGAGTGGAACCATGTTGCCGGTCGTGTGCCAGAACGGGCAGTGAGAGCGCACACTTTTCCAGAAGAGCCCATTTACGAAATATTTTCTAATCATGAAAATTTACTTCTCGTGACTCTAACCAGTGAGACTAAGGGCTAACCCCAAAGCA